TTTTTTTTTTTTTTTGCCTGTTCTACTTTGCCAAAATATGCCTAATGATTATATTGCATCTGAAAATAGGGTGTTTGTAACTTTGTAAGCTACACTCTCCCTCATTAGGAATTTATATCTTATAAATCATTACGGTCATTAATTATTATTACGATTGATGTGGTTTGGAATTGGAAAAATGTGCTTGGAAAAATATGATCAGAATATTCACTTATGATTATGCATACAAAGAAATGTCTGCTGCATGATTCTTTGAATCCTGAGACATCAAGCATAAGCAAAGAAGACAGTAAACCTTATTTACTGACTGTAAACAGGATTTACTGAAGATGAAAGGGAGGATTAGGTCTTTAGACCATCATTCATCATGACAGGCTCTGCAACAGAATCAGGAGTTGTGAACGTCATGCACATGTTTCCAAAACCTGTAATATTTACAAAAATATACAGGGGAGACTGGGGCTAGTTGTCACAAGGCTACATGCTCCTAACTAGGTTTCAAGTCAAAAGTCACTAAAGGTAAACAATTGATATTCATTTCAGAAAATAATTATGTATTAAAGTAATGCTGGACATGTGTCTCAGTGGTCTTTTGTGTTTGTTGTTTTTTTTCCCCAACCTGTCTGTCAATCTTGTGCGCCACTGTGGTTGCACCCTCCTCGATCTCTGCATCGTTCAGTGGTCGGATGCGCAGAGCAACCTTGAATCAATGTACATCATTTATTAAAAAAACATAACTTCTCCCTTCACCCGATTAGATGCATAGAACATTAACAAAAGTGCATTCATATTATTAAAATGCAATGAAATTTTGATTCATGTGATAATTAGAATCTCTAAGAACAACTGATCTGTTAACCACTATAGGAGACCGGGGCTAGCTGTCACATATGGACAAATTCACAAGTGTTATCTCAGTAACTGTATAGTTTTGACACTGCAATAAGATCAGTATTAACTGAAAGTTGAACTGTGTTCTCAAGACAAGGGTATGTCAGGCCAGGGCGAGTTGTCACATGTGGTTTATATGTTTTTAAATATTATAACCCATTACAATCTCTGATAGCCAAATAATATTTTTGCACACTACACCATTAAGTATTTGGTAAGTTGGTAAGATTGATGTTTTTAACGTTTTTGAAAGAAGTTACCAAGACTGCATTTATTTGATGAAAAGGTAATCAGTAATATTGTGAATAACTTTACATTTTAAAATATATTCAAACTGAAATTTTATTCCTGATGACAAAGCTGAATTTTCAGCAGCCACTACTTAGTCTTCAGTCCTTTTAATTCGAATCTGCTGATTTGGTTCTCTTATTACTGTAGTATCAATGTTGAAAACAGTTGTGCTGTTTCATATTTGTTGCGATTCATTTTTTCTTACTTGTGTTTTCATTAATTATTTTATAATTGTTTTCCCCCTCTTAAATTTGTCAATAAACACTAGGTTCCCTTTAGACAACTTACCCATTTAATGTGACAACATGCCCTGCCACAAAAGGTATTTTTATATATTTTTGTAGCCACGACTTTAATGTGTATGCCAGCAAAGATTGATGTGGTGACTTATTAATGGATGTTATTATAGAGTGCTACCACTTGTTTCAATAGAAACGTTCTGTTCATTTGTTTACCCTCTCCTGTCCCAAAGGAGCCACATTATCATGCATCTCCAGGAGAGGTCTGTACATTTCCATGCATGGAAATATACAGGCCAAATAATCTTCGCGTTCAGCTGACAGGTGGTCAACGTTACTGTTGAATGAACTGTGGTGCATTAAATAAAATTCGACAGCCTACCGTGAGCTGATGGTCCTCCCACTCTCCTGGCAAATCCTTCATCTTTTTATTCCCAAGTTACTTCAACCCTGTGCTTTATCACAGCCTGTTTTATCGGACAAGATCAAAATACGCCTCAGCTAGAGCCACGCTAGAATA